TATGTATATATGTGTTACTTATTATTCATGTTATTGTCGAACAAATTTGCTAACACGATCAATAGTCTTTACCCTCTCTTTTCACTCCGTCTTTCTTTCTTTCTTTCTTTCTTTCTTTCCTTCTTTCTTTCTTTCTTTCTTTCTTTCTTTCTTTCTTTCTTTCTTTCTTTCTTTCTTTCTTTCTTTAAAAAAAAGCTAACTTCTTTGTCCTCTCCTGCCAAAACCAGCCTCACGACCTCCGATTGCACTCCAGTTAATAGAATGTAATATTTTCATCTACTATGATGGACCCCGGTATGTACACAACTTTCCCTCTTAATTCCCCTTTGTGGACAGGGAAGTTTGCGACAGCTTGTGTATCAAATTTGCAGACGTTTTTAACCCTATATCCGTACGTCGTGTTTTATTGTCATATCCATACGACGTGGAAAACTCTGTGCCACCACCTTCCAAAGATATTTTACTCGGTAATCCGATCCGTACGCTTTGCATAGCCGTGTGTCAAAATGATTTTTTAAGAAATACTGAACGTTTCAAAGAGATCTTCGCTCTGGAAGTATTCTAAAATGTAAGGAATACAACCCCGGGGATACATAATGAATCCAGGGTGTACGGAAAGGGTTAAGCGCGATTAAAATCACTCCGACCGTCATCTACTCACTCCGCCCCCCCCTCCCCACTCCCAACATACGTACGCCTCAACTAATCACCGAGTAGTCTTAGTCACTAGATGTTAGGTGGGATTTTCTTGTAGTATTTTCTTGGAAAGTTTTGGATAGAGATGTCCACTGTAGGTTCTTGTGAGTTGTTGGTTTTTCTTTCTTTTCTTTTTTGTGAGTAATTTGACTGTGTGGAATTCGTTGAGTTTTTTTACTTTCTTTTTAGTGTTAGTAGTTTCATTCTGTGGACTTTGTTGATTTTTTTCCTTTCTTTTTAGCGTGAATAATTTCATTCTTTGGAATTCGTTGAGGTTTTTTTTTCTTTCTTTTTAAAGTGCAATTTCAGTCTTTGGAATTCGTTGAGGTTTTTTTTTCATTTTTTAAGGAGTAATTTCACTCTCTGGAATTCGTTTTCCTTCCTTAGAAAGTGCTGTTTTCTACGTTTGTGAGCGCGAAGAATTTTCTCGTGTCAGTAAGTGTGTTTCAGTACTGCCACATGGAGGACTTTTTTTGTTGCTTTCACCCAAGAGGTGGTTGGCGGGTGCTCTGCTGTAGTTTGCTTCTTCTTTCCTATCAAACTTCTATCGTCCTCATCGCCCCTCCTTCTTTTTTATGTTTGTTACTCTCTTATAACACCTCTACATTTTAAGATCTAACTACTGACCCGAGCCCAGCCGTACTGTTGCGAATAAAACTAACTTGTGTTTCGCGCGCTCGTATGACCTTATGCAGTTGCGAGCACCGTAAAACCCCGTACTAAATTAAAACTCTAATCTTCTGGCGCTCTTATGACCTTATGCGGTTGCGAGCGCCGTAAAACCTCTACTAAAACTAAACTAACTTTCACCCACGTCCTATCATCCCCCCTTCCCAATCGTATCTCAGCTCCTCCCCTCCCCCCACCTTTTTCACTTTATTTGGACTGGTGACCTTCCTTCCTTAATCTTCTCTACTCTTTTGTTCCTCCCGTCTTTGCCGCC